AAAAAATACTTCAAACTTGTTCAACACAAAATAATCTTATATATAATTAATTAACAGCCAAAGTAAAGCAACCCAAGTAAAATCCTTAGCAATACTCTTGCCATACACTAAAATAGAATAATAACTCAGCATTCCGCACTTACCCAACATTCTTCCTTTTAAATTTTGAAGTCTTGTAAATTTTTTCTTTTTTATCAACAACGACAATTATATTACCAAAATAAAATATAAAAGGTACTCTAACTTATTACAAAACTAACAATACTCAAAGATAAAAGGCTTAGCACAAAACAAGTTCAAAAATGCTCAAGGTAAGACTCACATCAACAGTGAAATCTATTAATGCTTTCCACGCACGTATCAGGATGCTCTACCAATCTCTGAAGAAGAATGCACAACCGGCCTCTTTGTCCTTAATCCACACGAAACTGTTGACTTGTATTTTTTTTTTTATCAATAAATTAAAATAATTTATTAATAAGAGTACAAGGGATATTCTAACTCATTTACAGAATAAAAGGTTAAACCATTATAATATAAACTCAGCAAAAATGACAATATTTATTATAGAAACACATCAGCCAAAACCAATCAAGCTCCCACTCGCGATCATACATGTCCTTGTTTCAGCTTCAAATACATCTTATTGTCTTGTATTGAATCCAATAAGTGTTGTCCACAGACTTATTCTTAAACACATATTAATATTTTTAGATATAATATTAAATTTTTTTTATTATTTTTATTGGTGATTATAATCACCACCTTCAAAGGGTTAAAATGTACCAAAAAAAAAGAAAAGAAAAGGGTCCCTATCGCTTTAGAGGTATTTCCTCTTTTCGATATCTCCTAGTCTGGCCAGTCTCTCTCCTCTGTGTCCCCTCATCGTATTCCTGTTCAGTGAGGTCATTAGTCAAATGATCAATGCATATGTCGGCATTGTCAGAATACCAATCCAATACGAAATTACCTTTTGGTGATGAGGAAAGATTTTTCAATGCTATTTATCTTTAGAACCTGAAGGTGCTTGGGATAAACTTATTATTATTATTATTATTATTATTTGGCGTTATTAAGCATCAAAGTAAGAGCATTGAAGGTGCTTAACACAACACCAAATGATGCTTTTTTCACACCCAAATCGATGATCCGACATTGGATTATTGTTTTGATGCTTGGGTTACTGTTTTGGCAAATGCTTACTGTTGCTAAAAACACAATCAATGAGCCCACTGTGGAGACAATATGGTCACAAGCATTTTCCTATTTTACGTAATTTTTTATTTAGTCTAATCAAATAAAAAAAAGAAAAAGAAAAGAAAACTAAAAGATATAGTTGTTTACATCCATTTTTGTAAATTAATTACAAAAAGTCATGTATTCTATTTGTTTTGAATTTAAAAAAATCAATAGTTAATCGTTACAATTTTATTTTCATATCAATTTAAGTAGCTGTTACCACATAATTAGCAAATTAGGTGGTTTGTTGCAAATCTTCAGCATGTTGTCACTAATTTTCAAGATTTTGTTACAACTCTACACCTTACTACCATTGATTTAGAAGGTTATTGCAGATTTCATGCTATAGTTGGTTTTCAAGATATTGTCAGCAGAACTCCACTATGTTGTCAAAGTGCTATAAATACTCAATGATAAGATCAAGCAAAAAAGGACTTACCTTTCACACAACAAGTCCAACACTATCTACATTTCAATTTTCACGAGCAATTGTTAGTTTAGATCTAATTTTTTCAAACAGCTTTTTAGTTCGATTGTTAGCTCTACGCTGCCACTAGTTTTAGCTCTAATATTTGTTATTTTGATTTGAACACCATCATTGATGTATTTGATTTCTTACAGTTCAATTTACTGCACTTTGCTCTAAATTTGTCTTCCTAGTTTCCTTTAAATTTAGTTTTACACTTCAACTTTTATTTTATTTTTTATGCTTTCATGCTTTAACAACGGCATTACATTGCAATTTAGTTTTCCTACCATGCACTCTCTTTCTTCTCTGTCCCTTTATTTTTCTCTTTTACTTCGATCAACAAACTAACATTTTGGCTTTAGTTCTGGAAAACCCCTGATGTTCTTCCAAGACAATTATTTATGAACTTTTATATAGGAATGCACCCATGTTTCTATGACAATAGTCTAAGCAGAGCAAACCTCATAATTTATTTAACTTATACTCTTTTATCAACTCACAACTGAATTCTACACTTAAAAGTAGTGGGGGTCCATCTTTCTCACTTTAAGTAAAGTAAGTGACATGCTTTTGCAGTCTTATCTGTCACGCTGTCAAAAAAAGAGATTTTGAAAACAACAATAATATATTCTTAGAAAAATGATTAGGGTATTTTTAGATTTAACACATTAGACAATACTTATCAGTTTAGCCATTAAATTCCATTATTAAAAGTTTTATCGTCATAAATTTAAATTTAAAAATAATAATTTCTTAATAAATATATTGTAAAATATATTAAAATAGAGAATGTACTAATCATTATCTTATATATTT